CATTTTATTTAGGACGCTATTGATTTTGTCCCATGCGTCATTATTAAGGCGTATTTCAGCCTCGTTCTTTTTTATAGACCCTTCCAGTTGGGCCCGAACCTGTTTCACCATTTTTTTGAGGGAAAGTGATTTGGCCTTCACGCTGTCGCTATTTGAGAGCTTGGCCACATCCACGAGTTCATCCAACATTTGGCGCATGCTGTTGGCAATGCTGCGCATATTGGTCATTAGCTCTTTCCGGTCTTCCTCGCTGTCGCTTTCCTCAATAAAGTCAAGTAGTATGGGGAGGTTGGAAACCGGGCTCCGCAAATTGTGCGAAACAATTTGGTTAAAGCTCTCCAACTGCGACTTTTGTTTTTTCAATACTTCCGACAACAGTCGCAATTGCTCCGTTTTTTCTTTTTGTAGGGTTACGTCCTGAAAAACGCCATAAATACGATGAACTTTGCCGTCTTCCATTTCAGGGCTGCAGATGGAGCGTACCCATTTTTTGGTGCCCTTGGCTCCGGTAAAGCGCAAGGTAACATCAAAGGGTTTTCCCGTTTCAACGGCCTGGTTGAACTCTTTGATGATGGTATCCCGACTTTCTCCTTCATCGTAAAAATTAATGGCCTCCTCCAAATTGGGTTGTTCGCCCTGGGGCAGTTCGTGAATGTCGTAAACTACCGAAGACCAAAAGGGTTGCATTTCGTCTAAATCAACTTCCCAGGCACCAACCGAAGCCATGTGTGACGCCTGCTCTAATAGGTTTTTATATTTATTGGCGGTAGAGCGAAGGCTTACCATGTCATTAATGGTTCTGGAAACCGTTATAAGACAATCTTCGCCTTTGTAGCTGGTTTTTTTAGTTTGGGTTTGCAACCACACGTAGCTGCCATCTTTTCGCTTAAAGCGATATTCAGAAAAATCTTTATCATACCCCTCCACACTCGGCAAGTGAGAATAGTTGCGGATGTAGTCTTGATCTTTGGGGTGAAAAAAGTCGTAGGGATTTCTCCCTACCAATTCTTCGGGCTCAAAGTTGGCAATGGCCTTAATGCTTTTGCTTACAAAGCGATAGGTGCCGTCTAAATCATGCAGGCAGATTAGTTCTTTGGCATTTTGAATAAGGAACTCAATTAAATCAGGGTCGTGGGGATCTAAGTTGGAGAGTGGTGCTTGCATAGCTTAAAGGTGGGTACAAAAATGGAAAATTGCAAAAAAAACCTCTGTCTAAAATTCGCCACCGTCAAAATCACCATCGCCCCGGCTGCCTTCGCCTCGTTGTTTCTTCTGGTTTAAGCGGTAATCAAAACTGAGGGTTATTTGGCGCTGGCGCCATTGAAATTCGCTGTACGATTCAAAGTTGTCTCCGTAGGTGAAGGATCTTCGCTTGCGCGAGTTAAATAGGTCGCGTACGGAAAGTGTTAAGGTACCTTTTTTATTCAGCACGTCTTTGCTCCATGCCAAATCCATGGTGTAAATGCCCAACTGCCGGCCTTGAGGAGTGGTTTGTGGTGCGCGCATTCTAAAGCTAAGCTGGAAATTACTGTTCCAAAATTCCAACCTGTTATTTAGGCGGCCGTTGGCCGAAAAGTTATCGGCATCAAAATTTTGGCCTTGGTACTGCCCATCGGT